TGACGCTGGTGCCTGGAAGGCCTTGTGGACGCCAAAAAACATATTTAAGTTGGGCTTGCATGTAGTTATACCCTGAATAAAGCTGGATAAGATTCTTTTAGATTGATTTAAAAAGAAATCAATCTAAAAGCGGTTTTTAAATTTGTGGTCAATGACTATCACGATTACTAACTATTTCTCAGAAGCGACACAATTTTTTTACTTAAAGAAATTAAAGATTAGTTAAAAAGGTCAAGGATTTATTTATACCTTCCAGTAGTTGTGACATTTTTACCTTTTTGGACGCACAAAACGAATCCAATACTAGCAGTAATAACAGTGAATGAGATCCGACAATATCAAGTATAAAAAAATGAAGAATAATTCTTTATTGCCTCAGGTTAGCGTCAATATCTATTATCTAGTTCGGGCTTTCAATATAGTGAGAAAAAACACTCAAAATAATTCCCTATATATTCTTATATATCACTATTACACCTTTGCTATCTTCTACTCGGGTAGGGTACAGGCAAAGTTGTTATTGCCGTGGCTTTTTTGTTGGTGGTGAGGATGCTAATGTAACTTTTGTATAGCCACCACCGTCTAGACTTCGGCAGCTAGGTCGAACCTCGTCGTATAACATAGGAGCCACTTGCAGCAATACAATTTGATATTTATGGCGCACTACTCGTTTGGTTATTTTTTCTCAAGCAGGGCAACAGCGATTAGTCGATGGCCGTCGTTCCGGCTTGCCTGCCTGATCGTTGACTTTCTACTAACTGCGTTGATAGTACAACGCGTCGGTGGTATAGTGGCTAGCATAGCTGCCTTCCAAGCAGTTGACCCGGGTTCGATTCCCGGCCGACGCAACTAAATTTTCAAATTTCCTTTGGATAATTATCGATAATGTACACTTTTTTTTTTGTTGAATAACAGAATACAGAGGAGAACCACTAATTTCTCTCTTAAGACACGTAGAAGACATTTTACTTGAATAAAGTTTTGATATGTTATGGTGGTAAATTTACATTATGTAAAATGCAAATCTACCATTAACGAGCAATAAAACAAACTATCAGAACGTAATTTGCATCTATCACAGATACATGTCGATTATAGGTACTAATACTCCCACTAACGTTCATCGGCGCCATTTATGTCCGTAAATTTTGCCGGTTCTTTTGTACCGTCAAATGCACTCATGTTTTACGGTCGGCCCATTGATCTTTCACCTTAGAAACAGAGAGAATACCATCGCGTGCATTTTAGTTGAACAACGGGTCGCAATATTATAAAATGATAAGCAGACCACTCTGCACTTTTTCGTCAGGCTAAGCCACTGAGGGCCACAAAGCAAGCAGACAGACGGACAGCCTTCCAGCTTGACCGAATGTAGCCTCATCAAGGCTTGGCAAAACAACAAACAGCCTGGCGATCATGTAAGCAAATGTTATGCATTTAATCTATCCAAACGAAAATAGAAGTGTTAGCGTATTGTGTATACGGCAGTCTCTTAACTGTAGATTTCAGTAGTCAGCAGCGTATATATCTTACGAAGGGACGAAACTAGACCGATTCTAGCCATGCATTACTGCATACTTATCCAACGTATTTACTGAGCAAACAAGCGGGCCGTTAACAACATGTAGCATGTTGACTACATGTTGTTAACGGCCCGCAACTACAATGACTACGAAGGCCACTTGATAAGCACGTTCGTTGGCGGGCCGTCGTCTCTCCGTTGTGTGTGCATTATAAATGTGTTGGCCTTGTGTTTGTATTGGTCTTTACCCCACATTATGAGCACGCTACGGCTGTCAAATTCCATAAGGCCGGTGATGATATAAGGTTTCAGCTGAAGTCGAACTAGTTTTATATTGCTTTTTGGCAGAGAAAAATATGGCGAATAAGATCTTATGTTTACTCATATATATATATATATATATATATATATATATATATATATATATGTGAAATACTTCTTACAAAAAGTTTGGAACGTGCCCTTACCTTTAAAACAGTTACGCATAGCTTCGCCCGGTTCTGAGATCAAGACGTCGAAAATTTCTAAATAATATATGCAGATGTTTTTGCAGCAGGAGTGCATGCGCTATAAATGTACATTATAGTAGACATTCCCTCATAAATTGTATAATACAAGGAAAGCTGACTATTCAACAAAACAGTGCTTCTAATTATAAACTACAAGCGCAGCTGTAACATTTCCAATCGGTAATTGGGTATTCAATGTAATCATTACGCACGAATAGGTTTTGCCCCAACGGTCAAAGCCATCATAAAAGCCACAATGAGTCGACCATCGTGCTTAAATAAGTACACAACGTATGAAAATAAAATAGAAATATTTTAAATATTTTTGGACACGGTCATCTTTTCACGGCCCAAATGGATAAGCAGCATGCCCACATCAAAGATCTATGAGTATTTACAACTAGCTTTCCTTTTGCTTCCGACTGCCCCCCTCAATTATTCCATCCTCAAATATTTCAGCTGATATTCTTCGCTTCTCTTAGTTCCTTCATTAACGAATCCACTGCATTCGGCGAAAATTTAATTATCGATGCTGAAATCTGATGCTTCATACTGGTCAGTGTATGTTTGCCAGAGAGAAAGATCTCCTTGTACTTGTTACCCGTATCGTATCGCACAGACCCCTTGCCGACTTATACTTGAATTTACTTTCGCGGTATTTGATCTAGCCTTTAATTATCGATCTTTCCTGTCTTTGGTTTTCAAAACCTTTGCAAGTTACACCGACGTCTTGACACTGCGTCTCGATAATATCAGCAGAAAAAACACTTAATTCGTTTTCCTCCTCCATCACGATTCGCTATTGTTACAAACCCTTTGTTCCATATGCTCCCTGTCTGTTGGGCCCCTTCAGGTCTTTTCGCTAGGGTAAATCGAACTTTTTCGAGATGTGACGGACCAAAAGACGAACTGTGTATGTAGATTTGTTTATTTGGGATTTTATTTTATTAATCTTAGCTCTTTACATACTTCGTTAGGTCAGATAGCTTCGTCACAAGATCACACCCGTGATTTTACCATAAGCCAAATTGCGCCCACTGCAACACGCCGTCGCTAGCTATAGCCACGTCATTACCCTGGCTCCGTTACTGCTCGTGTTGCTGATGACGCATGCCAAAAGCAATCGTGCTTCGTGAAAACGTTATACGCGGTCCGGACGAAAAGTTGCTTCGCTGGAAGATGGTAGGCTTTTTTACGGACCAAGTGCATTGATCCAGGTATACGCTGCTCGCTATTCAAAACTGGCGCTGTCTGCAAGCGTGCCCCTCTAGGGCTGAAGTGCACTGGTAATACCAATAAGCCGCGTCAGTGCCCGTTCAGCGTTGAGTAGAGAAGCGTTTTTGGCAGCAGTGTTCGTGTGTGTGACGGCCTTGGGCTCCTTGGCGCAAGATGTGCATATCACGAAAAAAAGACCACAATGCCACGAAACCAGACGAGATCATTTAACCGAGGAGATTTTGTCACCGCCACTAACTATTCATATAGGAGTGTTACCACTGCACGGCTCCACGTTGGGCGTTAAGTTTCTTTTACTTGTGTAGATTATATTGCTTAAAGCGAACTAAGATAAGTTTCGAAAAAGATAAACACTGTTGAGCATTTGTTGTGCTATTGAAATATGTAGCTCAATAAGAAAATTAGGTTTTCATTAAATGTAAAATTTTGTAGGTAATACCTAAGCAAAAAAGCGGTATACATTCGCGGTAGGTTAGAAGTTGCATCAACCTTCCAAGAAATAAAACAAAATATTACTATGTTATTTACTATTACTACTACTATTACTATGATCAACCTTATAATTTTAGAAGTGACTATGTTTTCCAGGCCCCGTAAATACGATAAAATTTAATATATAGGCTGCGATTATGCAAGCGGTCTTCAGCTGGTTTATATACGGAGAGCACAATCAGCCGGATACTTGAAACTATTTAACTGGTATCATCCAATCCAATTAAGTGGGCTAGTTTCCTAGTATGACACTGAGCAACACATGAGCCTATTACGTATGTATCTTTTGCATCCTAACTTTTCCCAAGAAAATATTCTTTTCCTTATTTAAATCTCGTGAAAGTCGTATTCTGCTCATGACTCAAAAGCAAACCTGTAGAAAAAGGGGCACTCTATAAGCGTGCATACTACTACGGTGCAAGAAGCTCTAATTGGAAATGATGGCGTCACTCAGAGTGACCGTCCGCAGGGCGTCCGTATTAAAATTCAAATAACAGTGAATAATTAACTACTCGTGTTGGCTGGCAGCGAATCGGCCGATCCGTCGATCGATTTCGATGATTTGTTCGGCTTAGCAGTGCAACCCACGGATTCATAAAATGAGGGGCGTTAGTTAGGTAATTCCACAGTACTATATATCAAGGTCTTAAGCGAACCACATGTGACAGCAGAAACAAATATTTTACATATTCTGCAAATCACGTTATCTATAATGTACGCACTTAATGTTCTATTGGTTATTAGAACAAGTTAACAGTGAAACCAGGCAACAACAACAAAATTTATCTAAGTTTTATCATTAATAACCTCAGTATATCGTGCACAACTATTTAAGTCACATCATAATTATGGGAGCACAAAGATTTGAAGCGTCCAATCTCTAAGCAGCAACCCCTAGGTAATAGGTACTTAGCATGTGTTGAAGTCACTATTTATCTACATTCAGATATAACAAAGTACGTTACAATCCGTCAAGTGATTAAAGGCTACTTGGGCCTTCGTCGCTATTGCAGAATGTCCCTTTTTTTGTTATAGAAACATACCAGCTCAAATTTAACAACCAGATCTATTTAAATTGATTCAACAAGAGGCATCACAGTTACGAGTGTAAACAGAGACATGCAAATGATCAAGAATAGCTACGTTTCTGGGGGAGTGCGTACCAATAGTAACAGAGTCATAATGCAGGGACCGTTGAAGAACAACAGTAATAATAGAAACATTTCTATTCTTCGTTGTAGTCTATAAGAGCATCTGACAAAGTCGGAAGGAACACTGGTTGCTGGTTCGTAAACCGGCAGCACAGGAGACGCGTCCGTTAGCGCACTCGGCGGATGCCACAAGCGCCCGTCGACGCGCTACACCAAAGGAGCGCGTTCGACGCGCGCGTACGATGGAGAGAACACCCGCTTCGGCAGCACGACCTCAGCAGCCGCAGGCACCGCAGCAACATAAAGAACAGCTGAAGAAGCAGCAAGCCCATTTGCAACGATTTGCTTATCACACGAGAACGAAAGCCAACTTCGATTACAACGGTTACGTCGATAGCAACGAGGAAGCGACGGCCAGGAACAATAACCACGGGAAAATTTATAGCACCAAACTATTCATGACATCTTGCTGCCGTAGCAAGATACGTAATGAGACGTTGAAGTCCCTGCTCATCAATCCTCACCCGAAGCAACAGGAGTCCCGCATAGCGTCGAAGGCGTCAAATAGATGGAGCAGACTTCCGCTTGCGGGCCGACCTCAACAGTCGCAGCAGACTATTTGCAGCTTCCACCTCGTTGCGCCGGTTCAGTGCCTTTACCGTCCACAGAACATCAGGTACAACAAGTATGGCAGCAAAACAACTCGAAGAACACAAATAATCCCACATCAACAGCAACAACGCTCGTTCAACAGGCAATGGCTTCCAGCCAGTACGAGCTCCAGGATAAAATCTTTCAACATCTGTAGCGGCATTAACAGCAGCATCTGTTGGGCCGTCACAGCACATAGTGGTCCAAATAACAGTTACGGCAACTGCAGCAGAAGTCATATACTCAAGCACAAAGAGCTATCCACTCGTGTATAGGGGTCAGAAGAAGTTACGTCCTTCGGGGGAGGGGGCTGGCCAACGAATGTGGCATGCCTCACTCGCCAGTCCACGACACATTCGCTACCGACCTCGCTCTTTTATCATTATCCAGGTAAGTCAGTCTTCGAGTCCAGGAAAGACTGGATTATACTGTGGAGCAGGGGAAATTGTCGGGGTTGTCATGCAACGTATTCGTATATACGTTCACGATAAACATCATTGAAACATTTCGAGGTAGTTTTTGCATCAAAATCGTGCTATTTTTTTGACCGGTTCATGCGATAATAACGATTATTTGCATTTTATGCAACCGGCGGTATAAAGCAAACATTTTCATTTTAGACATTTAGGACGCATTTCGGTTGTAAATGCGTTTCCATATGTTTATCCATATTTAACTTTTGTCAGAGTTCCCATTCACACGTGTGTCGGCGTTCGCGACGCGCGTTGATCTCGTTTCAAAATTGCTCGTTAGTTATTTTGTCATGATTATTTAAATATTGATCTCTACTCGACTATCTTTTTAAGTCATGCCACAGGTTCAATATTATTTGGCTCATTTAGCACAGAAATGTGTTTCTTCACACCCATAAGCTGTACAGAATAAGGTGTACAAGATGTGTCGATCGAAAAGTATCCATGACTATTACATAAGGTCAGTAGCACGTTTTTTCAAAGGCCGAACTCGCCGCTGCTATTAACAGGAATAGAAAAATGCTTAACGCCTGTTACATGTAAGTGCGTCCATATCTCTCTTCATCGAATACTGTAGTCTAACAAAAAACCTTCTACAATTTGAAGTCTCCGAGCTGCTGAACATTCAGAGGGAGTCAAAAAATCTTTCTTTGCACTTTAAAACTTTTATTACATGATGTCATGTGTTCCTTCTCGTGCCTCATGTGATCGTTTTTTCGATCATGGATCAATACGAACATCTAGCGGAAGCTGCAAATTTAAATTGTAATAACCTTAAATAAGGGGCAGTATCCGCCTATGGTTTGATTTCGCTAGCTTGAACTGCTTTTTAGTATCTTAGCACTGTTGTAAAGCAAATAGACCTTGAACAGGTACGTTTTTCAGTCCGTTATAAATAATGATTAGCTAAATAACGGTGGTATACATAACATTAGTATTGAAATCATCTGCCGATAAAAGCCGGACTAGAGTTTTGGACTTATAACAAATTGTATGATTTTTATTTAGCTACAACTGAGGTAGACACACACGCATTATGGAGGCATGCACAAAAAATGATGTCTTCGTGTAGTATGACGAATTGGTTCAGATTCTGTTGTGTTACATTATTTTCTATGAAAGTTGCAAATGCTAAAAGAACCTTCACAAATGTCCTATAGCTCGCAAAACACTATGGACTACGTGTACATTGTTAAAAGCACTCGTTTAGAAAATTGAGCCTTGTTATTATACTGCTCCACAACAATGATAATTTAAAATTATAATATTTCCAGTTGCGGCTCGGAGATAAACCGCATCGTCCGCTGTGGATTGACTTCATCCTTCGCTAGCCAAGGTTGTGCCACTAGCGGTAGTGTTTATACAGGTGTCTCGACATTCTTCGACCTAACACCTGCTGGGGCGGGCCTTAACGCCTGTTGCAGTCACGCGCTAGGAATCGCGGCCGGCGACGGACCCGGATTCATTACCCTCATGGCTGCTGGACAGCCGCCATCTGTTAAAGGCACGTCCAACAACGCCGTTGCCGACCTCGAGAACGAATGTACCGCTGCTCCCCTCATACAAGTCCATGACGCAACGTTGTCCTCATTGTCGGTCTCCGCCACGATGTGCACCGGCCAGGGAGGCCTAGCAGCAGATTATCGTAGATCAACATCAGCACTGCACAACAGATGCCCCGCTAGAAATAGCTTGCTGCAAGTGAGTTAGCGGCTGTGTAACGTTAATTCTACTAATCGTCAGATGTCTTCGATTAGAGGTTCGATTAGAGGCGGCGGAGGGGAGGCGCAAGAACATTTGTATGAGAAACTTGCCCTTTGCATGCTTTAAGGTTTAGGAAGAATTGTAACATCCGTTTTTCATACAGGTTGTGAGCGGCAGCAGGTAGCTAGCATGGTTGCTGCAGCCTGTTATTCAGCAATAGCTTTTAAAACAATGTTGTAACCTATTGGAAGCGTGTACTCAAAATAAAAGCTATTTACATTGAACAGAAAGCCGCTACCTGGAGATTCGTTTGAGACTCTTTTTGCGAGGAAGGACCAGTTTGTATTCCTAATAGTGGCTTTCTACTAACGAGAATTCTCTACCCTACTGCGAATTTTACCTTAACTCAATAAGAGAAAACGGCCAATCTGAACATAAGATACTGACTAGCATATTTATGTGATCCATCGTCGTTAAAAGTGTATATATATATATTACTGAACGCTCCGTATCATTCGAGTCCCAGAAACATTGTACAACAAAATCATATTCGCAAGCTACATGAAAAGGGCCGGTATTTAACACTGATAAACGCATATAGGATTGAATTAATAAGCTACATCAAATCATAAAATAGGTGTCGTTTTCTATACAATCTGTATTTATCTAGAATTATTTTATAAGCATTTCTTTAGGTGTACATAGATATACTGTGCTGTAAATCTTCTAGATTTTGTGCTAGTACGATGAAATGATATGCAATAGAAACGCAGTAAGTACACTGGGACAAAATGATCGCAATTTCTGCTCCATCTATTTGCCAATTCATTTCAGTAACTATGTTTAATAGATAAGATTCATGTGGTGTCAACAGGTTCCTGCGGAAAGCTACGGGGGATCTTCCGCGCATGATCCCTGCACCTTGTTTGAAGAGGAGTCAGACGTCATCCGCAATTGCTCACTTTTGTCGTCAACTGTTTTAGGGGGACTGATGAAAAGCTTCTCAACAGGAGACATTTCACACGTTTTTGATCTAGATCCACCTGACCCATTACGAAACACCGTCTCGGAAGAGCTGATCGCGAATGAAGCTCACAATGATACTCCATGGACTAATCTTGAAGTATGTAGGCCTAATTAGTGATTGTTTCCATTATCTAAATATTTATAAACACCGTTTTATTATTAGCTACGTATTAATTTCGTTCCGTTAAAAAATATTTCGATTTATTATAGCATCCAAAGTGGTGAGCCAAAAATCCAGCCATGGACAGGCTTGATTTATAACCGTTTTTAATAGACATATAAGAGGAAATCTGTGTATAGACATACGCTTGATCTTTTTAGCATCGAACAGATACTGATCGTTGAAAGTAACCAAACAAACATATCCCTGAGAAAAATATAATTATTATTAGAAGCTAAATTTACCTTGTATCTAATTGGCTTACTTTGCCTGCCAGTATCTATTTGTTTTACAAATTATGCGCACTACCATACAAATTCTTATTCTTCTTTCTTTATAACGAGTCCACACATTCAGAAGAGTAAGTCTTTTTCTTAGCAGGTTTATAAAGAGAAGTAACAAGCGATGTAACGTCACGCGTACGTTTTTTCCCTTTGCGTCTGATCACAATCCTCGCACACACATGGCCTCGTATTCGTGCGCTTCCTGTCGTCTGGATACAGGTGCCTATGAATCGTCAACTAGATTGCGTGTCTCGTTCGTGCAGCACGTGGGTGGCCGTAGGAGATATGCACTCGGCTCAATCCGCAAGCCAACTGCCTTCACCCTCTGCTCGATGTGGGTCGGGAAACATTCCTGGTAACTATATATCAGATCGAACAGTTGTTGTACAGTGATTGTGTCTGTAACCAGTCAAAATGCTACTCAACGGTTTATCGTCTTTCTGTCAGGCCTACGACTGCGGCCACGATTATCGTCTATCTGGACTATACGCTAAAACATGTATAACCTATGTGCCTCAATCGCGGTTCTTCGATACGAATATAATTTATTAGCGCGATTGCTTGAGGCCTCTGACCGAATAGGCCAGTCGTCGTTTGGGAAAATTTCGACATCGATAAACGCTATGCAACATACGCGACGAAATGCAAATGTACAAAACATGTGTCCCTGGAGTATACTCACAGGAAAATAGACGGCAAGCGAGAATTTTAATCCAACGAAAAAGGGTTTGGCGATTAATCTTTGTTTGCTGATCACACAATAACAATTCCACACAGACTAAATATATTAGATTATTTATGTAAATGAGAAAGTTACTTCATGTGAGGTTGTTTGCTATGTACAAAACGTCCGATCATTCGCACCTTGTCAGCACCTATCAATTATAAATGGCAACAACATTGCCACTAACGAAGAGAATCGATGAATTACAGTCACCTACAGTAAAAAAAAACCCTCAAGGTCTCCCCATATGTTACTGGGTTTCAAAAGCCGTGCCAGGCGCTGCATAGAATTTTTACACTGATTTGTCTCCATGCGGCGGTAATGGTCACCGCGATGAAATGGCTGTTCATATGATATCGAAAGAGTAGTCATGCACGATTCTTCCTTTTACAACTATAGCCAAGAAGAGTCCCGTCGCTGCTTTTTGCGTCAACCCGCTTATCACGTAACCAAAATTCACGAAACTTTCGTAGAAGTTATTTAGTTTTATTCGCTATTCTTTCTTTCCCATTCAAATGATATGACCCTATAGGCCGCCCCGTTAACCGTTCAGTTTAAGACCGCTCTGACTTACTAACATACGCGTTACAACGTTGAATGTCACGCGATCTCGACGCTCTTTTCTTCTAGGTCCTTTCACACACACAGCCCTGATTATTCCCACTACATTCCCTACACTACAGCTATGCGTACACTCGCTAGCCAGCCCGGTCTCCTGCAAGTGGAATGAACTTTCATCTTTTTAAGAGAACCAAAGATACACTGTGAAAAAAAGGATTCTCGTACCGCTATCAGAATTTTATTACGCCATCAGTTTATAATATAGTGGACTCGACAGTGCCGAATAATAATACTAATCGTGAAAATTATGCAATAACTTGCTTAGATAAAATTAGATCCGTGCAATAGCAGAAAAATAAACTCGGGCTCGTCCGGGATTTGAACCCGGGACCTCTCGCACCCTAAGCGAGAATCATACCCCTAGACCAACGAGCCACGCATGCACTGAGGTGGTTAGAGAAAAATAAAACGGGGAGTTGTTTTTGGTGTGCTTCTATAACCTGTACCAGCGTCGCCTGCCCTAAATTTTATGTTCGTATGGGTTATTATATACAGTATATTGTATTCAGAGATATTGTATATCTGACGCAAATAGAAGAAGTTTCACTTTTTAAACACAATCCCGTTTAATTAATATACACATAGATTTATATAAAATGTATCCAGATATAATATAATAAACCTATACGTTTGTGAAAAGTACAGGGAATGTGATGAAAGAGGACGTGGGCATTCTTCTTAACCATTAGTGGCTGGTGCCAATACAAATATATATAAAGAATATTATAATCTGAAGTCAAATGTTTAAATTATCGCGGTGGTCTACATCTAGGGGGTGTAGCTCAGATGGTAGAGCGCTCGCTTAGCATGCGAGAGGTACGGGGATCGATACCCCGCACCTCCAAACCATTTGCTCTATTAGGCCGATATTTTTTATTTGCTATGTATATATACTAAGACCAATACATCACAATTATACCGGAACATGTTTGACGATACTAAAACAAAATATTGAGGGAAGCTCCGAAACGTTGATTATAGGGTGCTATCAATAGTTCTACGTAATTATAAATCTTATGAAACAGTTAATTATCGCTCCATTAAGATGACCGGCATGTGCGTTCTGCATCTCGTGTTTTGCCTTCTCGTGTTACACCAATCCCCGAACATACGTTTGTATTAATATTGCCGCACATACTATATTATTGCATTATATCGCCACATATCACCATGTATGTAACAATTACGGGAATATTTTGGGTACGTTCCTGGGACGTTCAGCATGCGAGTGCGTATATCATCCTTAACACGTATAACGTTATCACACACGACATATATTAAGGTAATTTCCATTTGTTATAGCATTCTATATAACTCATAGGTGCACAATTAGCTTTGCGACGAAATGTTTGCTTACTTGTAACCAATAATGAGCTATAACTACGACTTTCATTTCTAGGTTTTACGGCAACCGACCTTATACAATCCGTCAACAAAAAGGTCCGTCAGATGTACATTCGCCGCAGACTTTTGTCGACCTATAAGGCATTGGAAAGACTTACGAAAAGTCAGCTCAACCTCAGTGAGGCCTTGCAAGCCACCGGCCCGCAGGACCTCAAGAGAGACATTCAGGTACATTCACATGTGTCCTGTTTTATATTTGACGAAGTTACTGAAACAACTTACGTCCTCGGATATCTATTTTCTAATAGTTTTCTTCTAAAAACTCTGTGATTCGTATGCTGCTATTTTCTTATTTTAAATTTAAACATAGTTAAAGGAAAGGTTAAAGTTAAAGGAAATATGGTAAATTAATTCTATTCTAACGTATTTTGTAGCTTCTACTCATCAAATAATACGAAAGAATTGGATATGCTTTATCTCCGTTTATAATCTCTCTTCAGCACCGTTTTATAATTCATTCTTTCTTTCATTTACTGGAAACTATAACTTGTGCTAATTTATTAAAATACCTCACTCCCCTCACATCGCGACACCATGAAGGCATAGCAGCAGAAGCAGCAAAGAAGGTTACATTGAAAAGTTAGGTTTATTGCAAGACTATAAAGTGGCGCTTACTTTGATCTATCTTCAGCGTTCGTTGTAACGTCTATTTCACTAGCTAATATTGAATCGGGTTGTCCGTTGTGGCAGCTATATATTTCCAAGGAGTAAAGTTTCGATTATTGAAGGACATTCTTTCAACATCTCCCTTGTTGACTGCTGCGAAAAATTGAATGTTTTAGGCCTACTTAGGTTTCGTATTGAGCCTTGGCAATTTTTGTATACCAAATTTAAAAATCTGAAAAGATACTATTCCTTTTTGCGAACAAGCTTACTCATACGTTGTGATAGCCTAATATTATTCTTAGTTGTTAATCTATTATATAGAGACACTGAAAAGAAATGCGTCTAACAATTAACAGAAAAGCACTAACATATGAATGCGTGATTGTTAAGATTTGGTACTTGGAATGACCTCGGTTCGCTGTTTTCGCTATGCGCCGTATCGTTGTCTATTTGTGGTTTTGACGGATACTTGATTGAATTCACAATATTTTAAATATGCCGTATATGATAAGGTGGCCATACACTCATACTTAGTAAGGTTATCGGCCTATAACCTGCTAATTTTCTCTATTGCATATCGAATAAAGAAGCGGTCTTATAGTTCGAATAACAAAATATCCTTAGATAACAGCAGAACTCTGCTTTTTTTATGTGAAGCAAGTGTTATTTCGCCGCAGCAGTCGTGGCCGAGCGGTTAAGGCGACAGACTAGAAATCTGTTGGGGTCTCCCCGCACAGGTTCGAATCCTGTCGACTGCGCAAGTCATTTTATGCTTACGATCTCAGTTTCTGCAAAATCCTCGTTTTTTAATTACTGCTACATTTTATAACTCATTATAGCGGTAACTGAATCTGTAACTATTAAGTGGATACTATCATAAATACGTTTATCAATAACAATGATAAACTGATCAAACAGTTTTACTTCCAAACAACTAAATTGTAAATATTTTTACGAATTTAAAATTATATAATATCACTACTTCAAGCTTTTGTATGAAACAGCGGTCCAGGAAAGTCGGTCATCCTACTAGGTTTTGACAGTTTTGGCGCTATCGTTAGCTTTATTTTGTGGGATATGGAAATTATTCTATACCACAATTCTATTGTAATAAAATTGCTTGCATACAATTTGAAGTCTAGCCCTCTAGCCACCCTTACGAACAGATACGAGTGAATGGCCGCGATAACTACTTTGTGATTGAGGACGTGGTCCTCAGAATTTTGACACGTGTATACTCATACTTTTCTTGAAGTCGATGGAAAGACGACTATAGGAATTCACTCGAGAAATGTGTTGACGCATGCATCCGTCCTCAAGTACAATATACGTCAGTCCTCTCTCAGTTTATTGTGGGCTATGTACGTTTGTCTAGTCCATTGGGGGACTATTGATTGCACGCCGACCCACCCCGGTGGCAATAGCCAACAAGGACACGGCGGCGACTGCTTCGCAGATATTGTCTTCACATTCTACTTATAGGCACACCCGGCGCACGACTCCTCCCGGTTGATCTGCGGAAATAGCACCGGCATACCAACCACAATGATGCACAAACACCTTCCCTCTTTGCTAGACCTATTACATCGTCATTATAGATGACGATCAGCTATCCTACAACATTTCTGCCCGACCCGCTTACTACATCCCAATGCTAAAAGTCACTCATCTAAATTCAGCGCTGCCGCCCACGGACTCTATCAACGCCACCGCGATCTCATACTGCGTCTCTTTTGGATCTTTCTGCCACTACTATCTATTTTGTGATCCGAAGTTTCAGCCAAGCATCCCTTCGTTCTGCGCTTAGCGCACTGATAGTCCCGATCGATAATAAACCGCCAACATGTGAAACATGCTAGTACCCCCGATGCTCGACCCTACAAAGTTAAGCCTAGCCATCCTAATATCATTTGATGGAGTCGCTGAGAACCGGCCGCGCAAGCGTCATGCCTCATGGGCGATCCGTGTTGCCGGCAGGTTCTGCACGGGGCTGCTACGAAAGCTGCTCTACGAGAAATGCTGATCAGTCCTTCGGACAGCTCCTCCATCAGCTTCCTCATGAAACCTACCTATATATGCGTTATAGTACCGACTATGGGCCGCACCCAACAGACTGGCGGTGGGACTTGTAGTCGGTATTAGGTCACCTTACTCGATGTGCCAGCCGCTCCCGCAACTTGAGCAAGTTAAAGCTATTGTCTCGTCTCTCAATAACAGCAGTAGCAGCCTGCCTGCTTTCCCAACAGAGGGAATGACAAGACCGCGACAACGATTTAGACAGGCCAGCATACACAGCGCGCTTTGGTTTATTTCCTCGTATTGGCATGGCTCCGACAACAGTCCAAGCCCCCGCACTCGACCCGCAACCGAGGAGAACGCGGCTGAGGCTATGTGACGAGCGCAGTGATAGCAGCGGACTCGACCGTGGCAATAAATGAGAGAGAGAGAGAGACTGCAATAGCATCAACAGCAGCGGCGTCCGGACGAACTCTTGTCGTCAATCCAGATAGCACAGCATGTAAGATGGCATCCTTGAAAGCGAACCACTTCGTGCCGATCATCCACGGCAGCAGTGCCGCGCCCGCCAAAGTTTTTATTGTTATTTCCATTTTTTGCCATCCCCGACGTGTAACGAGACTGAGCGTATGGTTATTATAAATAAAAGAAAAATGTGTGCCAATGTTACAAATCTTTTTGTTTTCGAAAAAGAAAAAAGGTTGATATGGAGTATTCTAACTTAATAGAAACTACTGGATACAAGTAGACGACTCTGCTACGTGCAGTTGTTTGCGTTAAACTAGTTGATCCCATCTAGTGCTAAGATAAAATAGAAGTAAATCTGATGTCTCTGTCTATAGTTCTCTCATGTTGACTCTACTTTAAAAAAATACGACTGCGTTTTATGCTGTATGAGCTTTGACACGTAATATTTCGAAGTACATACTTGACATAATTATAAATAATGTAAAACCAGTGGTTTGAAATAAATCCATATGCACGCAAAAGTAAGGCGTTACACCCAGTATAAATTTTATGCGGATCCTCGAACTCGTAGATCAGTCAACATCGCTCGAAGGCATTGTTTGACTCCATTGGTACAAAACAAGAGCTGAATAATCGACGGTCTCGCGCAATACGTTGGTGCTTCGTATCTTTTAGGTGCGACACAAAACACAAAACGAATATGTGTGTTGGAATGTTCATTTTACAAACGAAACCGAACCTCACAGAAAATAGTTCTGGCCGATCTGTTCACCTTCTGTATACGTCGACTGATTGCCGTGTGTCAGGATGGCCGAGTGGTCTAAGGCGCCAGACTCAAGGGTATCCTTGCCCTACACAAGGGTGCGAGCATTCTGGTCCTCTTATGAGGGCGTGGGTTCGAATCCCACTTCTGACACTATATTTTTAATTTTAAATAATACTTTTTGTATTTAAATTCCAAACAGATTAAAGATAATACAGTCAATCTAATTCTATTAACGTACACCAATGTAATCATACTAACAGCTACGTTATTATTACTTCATTATTTCAAGGACACTAAGGTGAAAACATTTTGGCTCTCAGTGATCACGACAACTCAATCGCATGTAATTTCGTAATTTTTTATTTTAAAATATGGATTTACCGAGCTAGTACAACGCCAGTTTCCATACATTCATAAATGTTTAATCATATATATTTATGTAGACAAGAGATATAAAAACAAAGTTAAGCAACGCTGAGAATTACGATTTTTGTCGAAGTAGTTTCTGTCGTAAGCGAAGTGCTGAATTTGTTTTGGAAGAATAAAGGCCAGTAATTAAAGGCTTAATTAAGAGCGTTTTGCTCTAACAGAGAATAAATTTTATTCTAAAAAGTAACAATGAAAATATACACGGTGCTTGCAAGATCTCGCAGAGCTGGCGGAAGGGTGACTACACGATTGAATAAATCGTGCACAAAAGGTATCGAGTCCGCCAGGATTCGAACCTGGAATCTTCTGATCCGTAGTCAGACGCGTTATCCATTGCGCCACGAACCCGTGATGGTCAATCCCATCGACCTTTACTCGGTGCATCAAGGGTTTATTTATTCGTACCCTCTGGTTTTCTAAATACAGCTGTAAAACAAGTAAATAAAAAGGACTAGGTGGTACGAAAGAATAATTGTACTCCACAATGATACTAAATAAGTGACACAGGCGAGTTTGGTAACAGACGAATCACTGCAGCCCAGTGCGCGCGCGGTTGAAATCTAGAGGCAGCACGATAAAACAATGTGCAATACTATTGTAAAGTACGAGTACAAGGAGTTGCAAATCCATGGTCCATGCATCGCGTCGGTGGTTCAGTGGTAGAATACTCGCCTGCCACGCGGGTGGCCCGGGTTCGATTCCCGGCCGACGCATGGTTTTAGGTAATTTTATAGAGGGCACGTTTCTACAATTTTTAACAAGTTTTGCATATTGGTGTCTCCAAAATACAAAATATGAAAACAAGGTAGTCAAAAATATCATTTGATCAAAAAGTTGTTCCTGCCAGGGCTCGAACCTGGGACCTTCCGCGTGTTAGGCGGATGTGATAACCACTACACCACAGGAACCCATGGCACCCAGTCACTCCAAACTAAACCACAATGTGGGAAACTTATACACAATGTTTTTACTGGTCCTGGTTAGTTTTTATGAGGTATTCACATATGAAGTTGAATCTGGCTATCATATCAGTAAAGTAATGTCAAGCTACTTGAAAACACATAAGCAATCTTATTTACCTGCAGGTTTTGTGTGTTTTTTATGAAGCTGTGATGTAATTGTTCATGACTATGTTTTTCTACAAACTCAATAGGATGTACGAAAACACATTGGATCAAAAAGATATGTTTATAAACCCCTTTTTTTACTTTCCTATTTTGTGCAATCGTATATTCATAATATTATAAGTCATCTATTTTTTCTATACAACAAAAAACTTTTACAGGACGAATTGCGGCTTACTTCGTCAACTTCGGTTGGAGCCGGGGGCCGGACAGATGGTCGGAAAACACCGTTAACAGCGCGGGACGTCGAACGCGATCGGGGCAAACCTCTAACAAAATATGAGCGTAATATGATGATATTTAATTGGCTGCATAATCTCGATGACAATGTTGACAATGCGACGCCACCCTTTGACCTACCATCGAATAGCAATAGTACCAATGGAGGACCGCAACAACCGGTGCAACAGGCCGCCTGAGGGAACAGTCTTAAGTGCCGTATAAAAGGACTGTAAGTATCGTTCTTACAGACACAGTAGATTGCCAAGCCCAAGTTGCAGAAGGTAAGAAGCCAAAAAAAGGCCAATAAACTCGCACAAGGTCATCTCAAGCTGCACTTTTCCTAACATAGGCTAGACATCATCAGCAATTTCTGTTTCTTGGCCATGACATCGAGACTGAGTTAACAGATAATGCAGTAGCGTCGTACGAAACAATAAGAAGACATCAACATATTTTGGTTGGAAGATCGTTCGATCGCATTTTTACAGTGGTGATATATATATATATATATATATATATATATATATATATTGGGGAAAATCATGTTTATTGTTGCAGTAAGCACTCGCCAATTTTTGTTTAAGCTTTAAACGGGCTAATCGAGAATTTTGTAGACCGATTTGTTTGCTTTAGTGCTATTTCCTAAATATGCGTATTGCTCCAAACTTAGAGAATAAAAAGTCATAAAAAGTGATTATGTTTTTAAGATAACATAAAATGTTTGCTAAATACATATACGATGGTCATGAGGCATTTCAGACCAAAGAGAATAATATATATTGAGTTGTGAACACATTTAGTGAACATATTTATTAAGGCACAGTTAATAAACGTCGTTTTATCACATTTCGGGCAATTGATCAGTCAATCTGGTACGATATCTTCGCGAGACAGCAATTATGTCTCCTCATCAGAATGAGTATTCCATCTGACCTTCGTACTACTGACCATTCTAGTATTATTGCGCAAATGTACACGTTTACTTATAACCTTGCACACAAATGACTCAGCAGGCACTTGAAGACGATTTTCATTCATATTTATTGTAGTAACAGTCCTTCGAGCATCTCCAAATATGGAGACGATAAGGAAAAGCGCATTTAGTCAAACAATTGCTCCCTTACTTCCAACCCATGGCAAAAGCAACAAGTTTCACGCTATCTCTTACAGATTCACCCTTAAAACATACAGAAACAAGCCAAACAGTTTATTTAACGGGTTCATTCATATCATAACATCGAAAATTAAGCTAACTTACATTAACGAAGCTTATAATCGATATATAACTGATATAAACAATTATGTCATGTAGACAATATCGAACCTTACGTTTTAGTTTTAAGCAAAGTTGCAAAAACTATATCAAGGGAACAGTTATCGATCTAGGAATATTTTTGCACTTTATAAACATTCACACCTATACACAGAAACCATATGTACGCAGAAAGACATAATTGTGCATCGAAATATGCCAAAGTGCACGAGAATGCTTCAAGAAGCAAAAAAAAAGAATCAACAACCCATTATGATAGTTACACACCTACACTTACAATGGTAGTTTAAAACAAAAAAAAAAGCAACTAAAAGGAAGGTATGTTCAAGGTGCTCCGTGGGTGTCAAAGTACGTGGGTCACGGCATTAGTATTATGATTACTGACAAATATTACCCATATAGTACTATTTATTATTATATGTATTGTTGCGGAGTAATCAATGTGAAGAGGGCTGCGTCAAAGCCGTACTGCCGGAAAAAATACACGTAGCAGCCCACATAACAGATTTTGTAGTCGAACATAAGTTGCATGATGGCGTTTTCCATAAATGTACAGAGGGACACATATATATCTCCATAACAAGCAAATGACGCCACTGGACTTAACAGACAGTTATGCAACGGGGTCTCATAAAGAGTAGAGAGACAAGTTTCTTTCGCAGAATCATGAAAACTTATCAATCTTTCCTAGGCATATAGCGGTAGGAGTAATGGGCATCATTCACAAATGTTAGTTATAAAAAGTAATAATAATGGTTATAGCATTAGGGAAAATAACAAACAACAATAGAACAATAAGATAGGTAGGAATTGACTAGTGTAGTGAAGGTATTTAGACACTAGTGAAACAAGAACAACATCTCTCATCGTGCTTCATGTATATCATGTACTGAAGGTGAAGACTACTAAATATAGAAGCTGTACGCTCACACGGTTGTTGCATTAGCAATGCGAAAGAAGGTCTGCGAGGCAACACCTCAAAACGGTATGATTGGCACGGATTCGAGTGTATGTAAGCATATATACCGAAGATCCACAGTGCAATTGTTGACTGTGTCTGTATGATCTAAAGTTTTGTTTTGATGTTAAAACGCTTTAAATAAAGACGAAGAATTTGATTCGAGTCTAAATTTAGGCTGCGCCCTTAATGCAGACCTTCAGAGGTTATGTTGATGGATTTAGGTGCGGGTGTTTCGAGATAACCGGCTCGATAGAAAAAGCGCTCACTTGATATAAAACGGCGAATGAGCTGAAGAAAAAAGCTCATATTAGACATTGGACTCTGTGATCCGATACAAGCTTTCTCTTGTAGCCTATTCCTAATCGGGGCTATGTTATACAAATGCAAAAAAGGGAAAAAAAACAAAATCAAATATACTCGTGAATTTCTAAAAGTGAGTGACTATCTTGACATGTTGAAAAAATTTATCAAAATCAGATGGTAGTTTCGGGTGATAATTATAGGGCATTCGCAATAATGGATATTATTCAAAGGTATAATGTGATTCCACTTAAGATGGCCACTTGTACGTATCTTTTTATTTATTTCAGACTGGCAGCCTAAATAAAAGTAGACACGATCATAGGAAAGCAATGCAATGAAAATAAGCTAGCTGAGTAAAAAGCATAAGACTAGAAGGGAGAAAACAGGTCCTTTAATTCAGAAAATTACATGTGTCCTAATGCACTAATCTCAGCGAAATCGATCCGTCGTTGGCGACGTATAGGATCGGGTCGAGTCACCACGTCAGGTGATTATCACTACTACATCAATAAGCTTTTATGTCAAAGGAAAATAAATATAGCCCAATATAATAAAACATGTGGTCATGAGACAGATTTGCCGATCGACTGAACATACGACATCATCAATAATGGGAAAGCAAATTAATAAGTACGGCCTGTGCAATCGATCTGTTCTCAACCGGGACATGTTGGTCGTTTTCCAAACTATAAAAGAAGCACTAAAAAGCCTAAATCAGTATAAATGTTTTGACAGCCCAGTTAGTTTTTCGATCTCTGAAAACTGTATAACTCATCATGCCCGTACAGCAAATTCTAGCCGTCTATAACGTGCGGAAGTAGCTACTGGAGTTCTGTTTGAGATGCATTGACACACTGTGGTATACCCAAACGGTTTGCGAACTGATCGCAAGTAGCGAACCAGATCATGGATTAATAAACAACGCACGGTTCTTAAGCTGCTACACTCGCACCGACAAGTGAACTGCGCAGTGACTTAACTGTCTAACGCTCTATTGTTCTTGTCCGCTGTACATATTTAATTCAAGTGATAATGAACCACTAGTGATGAATACAAGCAAATTATATATATATGAATTGATTAAATAAAGGAAATTGTACGGTAAGGATTAGAATCAGTGGATTAAGGAGAAAAACAGAACGTATCGAAACTGTTGCGCAAAAACAACGCTGAATATTAACAGGTGAAAAAAAGAAAGAACGTTAAGAAGACAGGAAAAATGTCGGTTAATGGCGGTAATGAGTGTATGGAAAAATGGAATAAACGAAAAATTAATACCAGTATATAAAAGCGATAAAATAATAGTGATGTTAATAATTAAACAATGAGCTGATGGTGATGTGTTGTCTGGCTATGCTTTTGAAAGCATTCTTTTCGCCTTCCCCGTTCTGGCGTCCTTCACATCGTTTTACAGGCGACAGATGATTTTGTTTATCTATTATTTCTGCTGCCAGTATTTTCATCGATCAAACAGTAGTATCGGCGGCACTCAGACGGAAGCTTCGGCACCTCGAAGAACAGAAGACGCCAACAACAAAATGAGCTAAATATCAATAAATGCTGTTATAGCGTTCATGAAGGAACGTGAACAATAATATGTATTCAATTCGGATTTGTGTTTTTGTTGTTGTGTGTTGTTGTGGTAAATTGTGCTAAACGAATGTATTCATAATAAAATGACGATTACGAATGTAATCTATTGTAGCATCGTAAAGCTTAGGATAACAGCTAAATAAACATCGATGTCATAATCATCTCTGCGAGTACTACGATCAGAGTGCTCAATCTCCTGTTGGCAGTCAGCTTTCCTGCTGAAAGAAGACTTCCATCATGAAGGAACAGCACAGAGGTTGACGTCTTATGGCCACTGTTACTTCGATTGTAAAAATGGCTAATGCATTCGCAGGTACCGTTAGCACGGAGAAGTCCATCGGGTTAGCAGCCGACCTGGCTTACTTCACGAAATTTTATTTCGGATGCGTTTTAACAAGCGTAATCTTGAACCTTCTTGGCTATAATGAAATCAACATGGCTACATTACATCACGCCAATCTGAATCATTGTTTCTGATAAACGTAAAAGTTCACCTGGAAAATTGTAAACGCTCAGTCCCTTTTTCGACGAATATTATATTTGATCGCAATATAAATAGAAAATAAAAGTACCTCATAAGAGCTGTTCACCACCGACGCGTAATCAGCTATGCTCACCCTGATCCCTGATTTTGAAGTACTGAGTTGCGCTTGTAATTAGCGGATTTGAAATTGCTGATCAGATTTGTTGAAGCACTACTACCGAATTTCGCTGACACATGCAATTGCTCAACATAACTATAGTTTATGCCGTTTTATATTATTATTAAACGGAACAAATTGTTATTATTATTTAACCTTGTTGGTACTATATACGTATACAAAATCTTAGTTCGTTTTTCTGCTTCAGAATAAATGAGCTATCTCAGACGAGACTAATTCAAACTGCAATAGTAATCATATATACGCACTGGGCTGGAAATCGTGCCAGGGTACAACGAAGTATAGGTCTGTGTCAACTAAGCTCGTCATTTGTAGAGCTTAATGCAATGAAAAGTTCGCTTATCATCAGTCTGAACACTTCCCTCAGCCCGTTCTCGATACCTCCGAACGTGGAACGTTAAAATCGTTACGGACAGTGCTCTATCTCGCTGCTACGGGACCTCGCTCACATTAGTGTTATAGCCGCTGTAAATAGAATATAGGCCTTGCGTGACGATGAGACGAGTATTTCAAACGTAGAAAAGGGCAAGTCAGTAACTGCAAGAGTTTTGTGCGAAGATCATAGCAGTCTGTAAAGGTTTTCGTCATTTTATCTTTTTCCGTCAATAACCACTCATTCTAGCCAGTAGACTAATAAGCTAGACACATTTCAGAACTATTTCTATATGAGAGAGGCAACAGTCTGAAATTATATAGTTTCAATAGTATCTCGATCTCCGATCAATGGTTGCAATCCTTGTTGGCCTGTTGGTTTGTTTTCATTTCCCTTTAAGTGTTCACATTCAATCAGGGCTTCTATGAGCTCTGGGGAAATTTCGTTTCGCGCGCAACTCACATTACCTTACCAGCCAGACGGCCTGCGAAACGGCAGATACGGTCCACTTTTTCGGATATCCCTCGCTCGGCGCTGAATCAGCCCTCTCCATCTGCGGCTACTCAGGTCACTATGTTGGAGCGAGCGTTTGAATAGGGTAGGCGGAAACAAGCCTAAATAAGAACAACTTTCGTATCGAACATGTTCATATTAGCTCTAATGATAAAACTGTAGCACCGCCGTAAAGGCAATAACAAAGCCTGTTAGTAAAGCGGATTTGCCTTGTTAAAGTTATTACCCTCGTTGTCGTTGTTATTATTATTATTATTGACGGTGATCTTGTTTTTACTCCTATAGTAGCTAGATAGCAAATTAGCGATAAATGGCTTTCGATTAATTTCACCTTCATGGGCTGTGAACGGCATGTCGTTCGAGTCTGCCGAGTAGAAGTTGCAAGGTGAGTTGGAAATATGGATCTGTTAGAAAGCACTAGACAAGCTTATTGAACAGTGGTGATTTAGGATATCAGTGATAGGATGCTAGCAGTTGTTGTCGATCCGATGTTCCTACCGGGGGGTACAAGCATATTTATGTGATAGCTGGTAAGTTCGGATGTCGAACGATTTCAGTTTACAAAAAACACATACGAGATTGTTTGTCGACGATATATTAGCGTGTATAAAAGTGTGTGTATCTACGTGCGAAAGTGGTTTCTATTTACGAAAGTTACAAATATGATGCTGGATATCTAAAAAAATTAAACATTTTATTTGAATGTGATCAACTGTAGTTGTAGATTTATTTATGATCAAATTTTGATTTCGGTAATTAAAATCAACTTTATTTAATGAAATTAACATTCTAAATTAAGTTAATTAAATTTCGAATTTTAACCGATTAAACGCTCTAACACGAACAACTCGTACGAATTTGCTGTTTAATAAGTGATTCGACAAGTACCCACACAAAAAATAGACTCCAGCAAGCTAGGTCAGTATAGCAGGTGAGCCTTCCACTCGAATCTATTACAGATGTTCAGTATTCAACGGTCCCAGCAAGACGATACTAATCCTAGGTTAAATCATGAGAGCGTTACGCTCCTATATTTTCAGCCAGGTATTCGATAAAATTTGTGTTTTTTGTTGTATCCAGTGCTGCGTCCCGCTTGTTTGTCAATACTTAACTTATATTCACTGGTATCTTGCTGTCATTGACAATACTATATCCCGATACCAAACCGTATTTAATATTTACTACCTATCATCCATATCAAATTATGAAATACTAATATAATATGCTTTTTATCAAATCAAGTGGCTAGCTTCTTACGTTATCCGTGCGATCATTGAATAATTCCACCTTCAACGGCAATTTTTATCATATGCTAGATTATTTTCCATTGATCCTCTCGACTAGATTAGACAAAATAGGTATTTGAATCAATGATTCGTTTATGCTCCCCGATATTTACGTCGACGTTATCAGCTTTTTCATCCGGCATTCTCACGCCTTACTCAAAATGTGTTTTACCTCTAGGGTCGCCATGAGTTATTGCTTTAAACAGCTACATCTTATCTGCCTATCAGTGATGCATTGCCTGCTGTCCAGGATGTCTGGACCGTGCGGTTGCATTGCGCAAACAAAATCGTTCAACTCGTTCCTCCTTTTGCCGTCGTATCTTGACACATCTCCCAGGTGGTATCTCGACGACAACACTAGGCTGCTGTATCTTCCGCTAGCTGCGTCTATCTTTTTGTTCTTAACGATAGTGTGTGTGTTGTGGCAGCAGCGTGAGCCTCCGTGCTTTGCTATATCGTATCCTCTTTTTATGCCAGTCGGGATCTTCCTGCTTTGTAGAGCTGCATATCTATTAGGCTCTGTCGTTGGTCATATTTATGAAAGATGTCACATCGATGGCTCGCCAATTCAGCGTAGAGGTTGACGAGATGACGCACTTGAATTCTGCAGCTAGAGCTTGAGGGGCTTGGCTTTTGGGGAAGACTGACGACATTGAAGTCTCTGGGATTATTTGTGATAGCTCGATTATGACTAGAGTTTTATGTACGCGACCAGTGATCGCCTACTTTGCCAAAATGATGGGTAGCCTGGTAAAACGGGGCATCTTTTTTGTCGTTTGATGACAGACAAATTTTTGCTTGTCTCCTTCCTGCGTGATGAAATGTAAGCCCCGTTACTAGGTGCTACCTAGCGGCGAGATCCGCACTCGTAGAACAGACAAGATTTTACTAGCATATATGAAGACTGTATGGAACATATGACACGTCGTAGTTTCATTTTAGGAAAACTCTTTGGACACGTACATAAATAAAAATAATTCTCTGTTTGATTAACTATAGACAAGCTATTGATCTTTGAAGTGGATTGAACATATTGATCTTAGGGGTGTGCAGGTCTCCACTTCCTCTAATGGTCTACAAGAAGAAGTTCAATCGAAGTAATTTTCTCATTATTTAATCCAAATCACATTCTCGCCATTGCATTATCAGTCGGAATGAACTAGGTCGTATCGACCCTGATAAAAAGAAAACTTGAAAATATAATAGTAGAAGTAAGCAAAACAGGCGGATGACGACAAAGAACCGTTAAGTGTAGTTCAATAATAAAGAAGTATCATTTAGAGTGTTCTACACATTGTTATAAGTTAAAGCAACCCATATTACACTCATGCATAAGCTGGCAGCAAATTTCGTTTATTGGCGTTAAAAGCAAGTTTGAGTTTTTTAAGAGAAGTAGGTATGAGAAAGATGCTAGATCTCGAGGAGACCCATGGAGGACGCGTTGTTACGAGGCGGAACGCCCGCACGTCATGCTTTTTGTAGTAATGAAGTCTAAGAGATTTCTGAGGGACACTTATGAGGATTGTAAATCGACCGAAAACCACAAATCTGTTTTTAAGAAGGGCCGATTAAGTGCTATGCCAACATATATACGGCGCCGTTATTACACACCAGTAGTTCAGATATGTTACGGCAATCGTGAAGTTGATACTATAATTAAATCTCACTAGCATGACATATTATTCAATATTTTTGCGAAATGCCTCTAATCTAGCTCCATGAAAACCTGGGCATCGCACGCTCAACTGCAGCTATAATGTTACATGTAGAATGTAATTGTTCTATGAGTCATCAAGGGTAACTTGCAGCATTACAATTGCGTGACAAATACATAAACAAAACACTCGTTAGGTTAATCTTAATGATAGTGATTAGCTCAAGATATGATGACTTTTATTATTTTATGAGCCTATATACTTTTTTTTCTATAGCTTGTCAATTCATCACTTGGATATATATACACGCTTCGTTATTATGGCTCACACGCACGGTCCTAGTTAATTCCGTTGCTGTCTGTAATCATCGTCTTCACAACGAATCCGCGAAGGAGCGTCCGCGTCGTAATGAATTGACTATTGTAGTACTCGAATTCGTTCTGTGTTGCTTCAGGTCCGGATTCTATCTAACGACATTTACGGTTTGACTCGTCTGATAATGCTGAAGGAGGAAGCAGGATTGGCTTTGGCCAATGCAGCTTCATATTCGGTTTTTCTATTAACGTATTGCCAGCTAAGTTGTCGTATCATCATCGTCTCGTTCTGACGAAACGGCGCGATCGAAACTAAAATATGAAGGCTAATACCACTATGTACTGTGATTGAGATAGGATTGCAGTAGCAAATAAAAAATACTCGCAATAAAGACTGACTGACAGCGAGAACAACCGGTAGTTGAATGCTCAGGATCTCCCTCAGCGAGATCAAACTTTTAGCGAATTTCAGTCATCAGTAAAAACAAATAACTGTTTTATACTGGTGTCTATACTATCTGAAGATGCACAGTTAAATGCAATACGATGTATGGCGTTAAGTACGTCGATCTTTAAGGGTTGTGATAAACCAGAAAGCGACGAGGATATTATACAGTGTGATCATATTTGAACCTCGATGCGTTCGACTCTTGGTTGAACGCAAATAGGGCGAGGTGATTAAATATGCCGCTTAGCGTCTTTATACTTCTGAAAACTATATTTTTCTGTGCACAATCGTTTGATGGGTTTGAGTGAAACAGAAATGAACATTATTTAAAAACAAATTTCTTTTTTTTTGGTTAATTACCAGTACTGAACATGACAGGAGCATTGTCTTGTATCGGGCTTCTTTTTCATGGCAAATAACCAATAGATTTAATAACAATGTAGAATGATTTCAATCAGAGTCGAACACGGTATGACGTGAAAATCTGTAATAAGTGTCGTGCTAAGTTCTTTTCCCGTGATAAAGTAGCAAAAACGTGATTGCTTAAGTAACAGTGATGATTCGAGACTGGGCATAAAAACAGTTTGTTTCAACCAGCCGTCTGCAGTAACGCCTAATGGCAGCACCGGACGTAAAAACTCAAAGTATGGGTTAGCTTATTCGCAGTAGGCCAATAAGGTCTGCTGCAGCATTTGTTTGTTACAATAGGATGCTTTTCCGCTTACATGCAGTTAGTTACTTAGTTGAAAACTCAAGATGCAATTCTTTGTTGATATACAATTTTTCAAATTGTGTACGGGGTCTCACTTATTATTGCGATATTGACCCCACTTAGCCAGGTCGCAGAGAGTATGGCCAGCGTACTAGGAAATGCGTCGACAAGCAAACGGCCGCGGCGTCATAGATATGCGCTACTACGTTCCGCTCGATTTCAGCTAGCGTGTATGTATGGTTACTCGGGATCTCCGAAGAGCGAATTCAATACACATGCAGTGAGACTAGTTTATCTGTGGAGGACAGGCGCTACAACTCTCCGTTCGTTGGCAGATATAGTAAGCGGTATACGAGCCGAAACGTTACCCGGTAATGCTGATAAACCTAACGAAGTTCGAGGAATTCCACCTTTCTATAATACATGAATAGAGAAATGTAAATGGGGAAAGTATTATCTATAACGACAGGTTCTTATGACGAACAGAAGCCGGCATGATCTTGACACTGATTAAATAATACAGCTTTACTTTACAGTGTTGATAATAGAATCTTAGCAATAAGAAAAGATTTTATTTTCACGCGTATCTCCGTTATGCATAGCTTCCCACGGTTCAATGTTATTACTCTCCCTGAAAATTAGAAAACACGGTTTATCTAATTCGATCTTGTTTTTTGCAGTAAAATTACCATTGCGTCTCTCTATGGAGCAACGAGCTTGCGTGCGTGTATTGAGGTTACACTGCTGCTGTACTAGTCATAGCTTGACAATAACCACGCATCGTCTTCCTGGCCAGTTCCTAATCTAATCTAGTCATGGAAAAAAGTGCCGTTGAGGTACCTTTCTGTAAGAGCGACGACACGGCAGAGCGGCTACCAGCAATAATGAACCACTTGCCAACTGTTAACGACTCCAGGCAAGTAGCGAACTCCTCCACTCTCCAAGAGAACGCCCAGTCCTTCTCCTCACAACATAGAAATCGACGCAAAGAACTTGCATCCCGTTGTGACATCTTAGATGTCCCATCAGTTGAAAAAGACACAACTACGATGGAACTAATTAAGAGCTTTGCAGCCGGCTCACTTAGCGCGAGCTTCTCATCAGTCCTCTTACAGCCGCTGGATTTGGTTAAAACTCGTTTGCAACTTAGAAATTCGGAGGGAACAAGGGCGTTTGCCAAAAAGCGTGGCTTATTCAAGTACATGACATATATCGCCGAAACTGAGAGTATACGTGGTTTGTGGCGCGGTACCGCAGCCGCAATTGTTCGTAGTGTACCCGGCGTCGGGCTGTACTTTTCCACCCTGCACAGTCTGAAAATTTCCACCGGCATTGAGAAACCTAGCCCAACTGAAGCGTTGGTGCTCGGTTTTGTGTCCCGATGTATCGCCGGCGCTGTATTGCTCCCGGCAACAGTGATCAAGACCCGTTTCGAAAGCGGCCTCTACCCTTACCGATCGCTGTCACATGCTGCCCGGTCGATATACGTTACCGAAGGCATTCGTGGTCTGTACTCGGGCCTGCTACCGACGCTTGCGCGGGACGCGCCCTACGCTGGATTGTACCTGCTGTTCTACACCCATTTTAAAAGTGTCACATACGCTAATTTTATTCCACCAGATAGTGAATTCCGTGATTTTGCTAATTTTGCATGTGGTGTCACCGCTGGCCTTAGCGCGTCGTTAGTGACACAGCCTGCCGATGTGCTAAAGACGCGCATGCAGTCCGATCCATCAAAATTCCCTAACGTCAGTTGTGCAATGATCGATATCTATCGCAATGAGGGCCTGCAGGCGTACTTTAATGGTCTCATACCCCGTTTACTGCGGCGAACTCTCATGTCAGCTTTAGCATGGACATTCTACGAGCGCTTGAGTCAGCACCTGATTGAATCAAAATCGTCGCCGTTATGAACAAGTCGCTGGACTTTTATGGTGCCAAAATGTGTTATCTTGACGTCTATCAATCCAATACACGCATCAAGCAGAAAAGACCTAAAGAAGCCAACTGGTTATTTAGACTGAATGTACACAAATAGTTAAATTTTGTGCTATAGGCGAGATTGTGTCCGCACGCCGAGTGGACAAGTTGAGAAATAATTAGGAATTTCTCTTTTTCACAGATCTCATGAACTACATCTGACTAGCTTTTAAACTAATGTAAGGGTTTTTGTCGTTGGATCGACAAGGAGAGTGACGATCTGTCAATAAAAACGCTAGGTCTGGTTTAATAACGATACGCACTAGCTAGTGGTTGACCAGCGTATTGTACTGACAGCTGGTCCCTTATCTTACAACGGCAAGTCCATTGAGATTATATACGTTTTTGACAATTACCTGGATCCATTTCTATTGAACGTCGTGCCACCAACCAAAGTGGCCTTAATGCGTGAATTTTTGCCTAGAGAAGAATGCAAAACAAGTGCCAACGAACCGTAGTCTTACTCTGGTTGCCTATCGTAATAGACAGTTAGCACATGGTGAAATGTATGATTCGATGAAGGCGGAAAAAGAGCATAAAAAAAAGCTCCATAACCAGTCGTAGATAGAAAAAAACTGTTTAAAAGAGAATTGTGCGAAAATGCTGTAACTTTCATTAACCACATACACTTTGTCAGCGTGTTTATATTGAAAAAATCTCATAGCCATTCTTGTACGTTACACATGTAAATAATAAACTGTTGGTTAATGGACAAAGAAAAGCAAAGCCATGAAAATAGAAAATAAGCTACGAGTTAGATATTACAGAAAATTATTGGAGATGCCGGTTGAACAAAGTATATTTTAAAATTTACAGTATTTCATGTATTTTTATTTAGCGACAATGGTGGGTTCGGAAGGCAAACATATTTATATATACAGACTTCTGTGGCTGTGTTCTAACTTCACTGCATCCCCAGAAATTCGAATAGTATATCCTAGTCCATAGATAACACAACTTCTATAACCCATTCTATAACCATATTGTACAATTTGTGTAATTATTGAAACGCTAACTACCAGCTAATTCTCGTAGCACCCTTTTATTGCAATAATGGATCGTTCAAGGAGTCTGCCATAAAAGTCGGCCAATTTCTTTAGCCAATTCATAGAATTGCTCTAGGAATACCTTACTAAACAGAACAAGGTCTAGTTGTTGCTGCTGAATGAAAATTCCTAAGATTATTATTTATAGATAAAGTTTGACAAACTCCAAAAGCGAACCAACTTCATAGTTAGTAATTAGTCACACTGCTCACCTGGTTGAACTTTTAAGCTTATAGAAGAATGTAAATTTTTTAAATAGCGCAACTTCAGATCAACTAGATTTCAACGACAATATTATTCATGATTCCAGTCAGATTATCAATAACTGTTAAGGAGCAATTCAGGATATTTATATTCCAGCTTAGGAAAACTAGAACACTATGTGTCTTTGTTGCTGTTGAACCACTTGATCCTTTTTCCAATGGAATATTTAGAAAAGTAGTTCCGATCCGTGTTCGGACGAGGGTAAAGCTCCATTTCTATTAAAAACACTATAAGCATCCGTTTTTATATATTGGTGGGTTCATTAGTGTAGCCTATACCTCTGAGTTGACTGGCTTATGTTTGACAAAGAGCGTGGTTACTTCGACAGTAAGGGATTAACTAATGATTACCCTTGGAGTATAAACTTTTGAGCCATTTCTAATTTTCTGTACTAATGAGCGCAGCCAGATTGCCGACACGCTCTTTGATCTTCGCGTCAAACGTGGCGTGAATATCCTTACAGCCTTTAATTGCAGCTTCAATCGTCTTTGATACGTGGTCGGAGTGAATTTTGGAACTCATATCGACAAGGACCACCCGCTCACTCTTTGGAAGGATGGCGACCGTGAGTCCGGTACCCTTGTGGCTTTCTTCCAGATTGTTCAGGTCAAGTAGAGAGGTGTCGTTAAAAAAGCCCGCACTACAGGCGCACACGTAATCTCGCATCCCGATACCGGCATCGACCAGCGCCATTGTCGCAGCGTTGATAGCCACCGATAGAAGGCTGCCATCTGCCTGAAGGACCTCCACAAATACGTCGATTTGGCATCGTGGATAAAGTGAAGTCAACAGCGCAGCTTCAAATGTTTGCTGTAGGTGGAGCGTCATTTCGATGCTCTTCGTATCGCCCCGAGGCCGACGTTTGCGTTCGGCTGTTGAGAACGTCGCTGCTGAAAATTGACAATTCACAACAGCCCTATCGTGGAGTGCCTGGAATAGTAATCAAATATTACAGATTTTAGATATCCGTTATACACTTAAGCTAAAGTCCACAAGCTATTTTGACCTTTGTTCGACTCAAGCTGAAATATTTTTTTGTTATCTATGAGGAAAATAGTTTAAGGTTAGTTCGAGGTAGCCATTGGACGTCAATGTGTGTAATAAATATTGCTGCAAAATATGCCATTATCAGTCTGGTGAGAAATTGTGCATGTTAGCTAAATACGTCGATAGTATTTTTGAAACTTTACAGAATATGCTTACTATATCTGCAATGCACAACATGAAAAAATAAAAACAATACGTAATGGAGAGATTAACCTATGATAAAATAAAGATATCTAGTCCTTTCCACATCTTTTAGTGGTAGTAAATTTGCACCATAAACTTCATCTGTTCGAATCGGACCACGTTTCGCATGTAGCCGTGCTACATAATTGAATTTACATTACTTAGTCTTGTTCACTGGTGATTATAAGAAAAAAATTAAAATAAAGGCTACGAAAGAAATGTATGAGTAGTGTGTAAAAGAGAATGTCGTTCTTTTAAACGTAAAATTGACTAACCCACTGTACGTTATCATCAGGGCAACGAATCACAACTAAGACTCAGCGGCTACTACAAAAACGTTGCACTACTGTCGCCCTAATTTACATTTCTCTTTCTAGAGTATCTTATCAGAACCCAACGTACTGGTTCTTACACTCAACAAGATAGCAAAACAGGGAATACAAACCTTGACGCGACCCCCACGAACCTCATGGGGTCCATATACTGCAGCCAGCACGACAGTATTACCTTGTTTGACATAAGCGCTTCCGTCAGCTTGTGTGAATACCCCTAACGAGCAGTCGAGCTTTCGCATTTCTGAGGCGCGTCGTCCATCCACTCGAAATCCTTCCTCGGACAGATATTGATAACCAGACATTTTTACGATGGGTGGCTATTCAGATGTAGGGAAAGAAATAATCGAAATTGTATTGCTATCCGCTGCTTTTAATAAATCTCACTAATGTTCACGAGGACGCCTAAGTCTTATGCAAAGCTGGTATGAAAAATAACTTTACGGACATGACATATTTGGTGAACTACTATTTCGGTTGCATCCATTAGCTCAATAACCGACTCCCCATACCAAAATGGAATGGAATCAATTACTTATTCAACAGGAGTTTAAGGATAATTTTTCCGAAAGTAGCTTTATGGCGTTATTAATAAAACTTCTTCAGCTTTTGTATGAAAATGACGCCGTATAACTAATATATATATATA